TAGATTATGTTCACTCTCTATTGTTAGATATCTTCTACGACGATTAAAATAATCGAAATTGAATTTCTTACCGGCAAAGAGACGTTGAAATATTTCACTTTGAATATTAAAAAGCCCGAGTTCACATAAATTAGGATATTCACCAGCAAGAAGAATACGTTTCATAGATAATGACTCAAGATTGAGTCGTCTAATTTTATGATGGATTTTAGGCAATATTCCTAAAGAGAATCGTTCGAGTACTACACCAACCATTGGATAAATAAGACCATTTGATGAACATTCCATTAATGTTAATTGACTCGTGAAGATAGGATCACTTATTACTTTATCAAACCTTTCATTAACGCCCATCATAGAGTAAAGTACATCTGTATTGATCAATTTCTTAAAAATCAATATAAGTATTTCATCAGGTAAATCGATCAGTTTAATACATGAATGCTCCATGTCCATTGTCACTTATTTTTTTTTTCTTAGTTTAGAAGAAAGTGCTCTTTGTTTGTATATAGTCTAAATGGTCGATGAATGAATCGACGAATGATGCCATCATGCAGGGTTTCTAATGGCAAGTGTACACAGCAGAAGCAAAATGTACAAACATTTGCCGATTTGAAAATACATGCTGCTGTACACTTGCCCTAGAAAAGCAGAGTGTACATTGTACACTTTGCGAGTGAGATTTTAAATGTATTTTTAGCTCAAAAACTATATCTAAACAATGATCCAATTCTGGTCTATTTTTTATCTTTTCTCTTCGTTGACCGACATGGTGACCAATCACAGTCGATCTCTCTTCCGAGCACGTCATCACCATTTGTATGTGACTGCCCTCTCTCTCTCTCTTTGTTCTCATCTCTCCGCAGATGGAGAATGAGGTCACAATGTAAAGAGGATAAAGATATATTCATTAGATTGGAAAATAAAGAAAGTGAAGGAAGCACAAAAGGAATAATATCGTTAGAGATATCCTCTCTCTTCGTGATTTCTTCTCCTTTCAGATTCATATTAACTCGTTCCCGATACAGATGTAATTACTGCAGAAAAAAGCCAAAAATTGCGATATTGAACTTAGTTTTCTTCAAATCATACTGGTTTCCATGATGATGCAGAGGATCATGACAGTTTTGATAGGGTTTTCTGGCTACTTAGTATTTTGAAGAATAATAAATCAGGGTTGTTATGCTGACATGCTTTCCAAATGCTACGCTTTCGTGTAGTGAATTGTCCTGAATGAATCACACATAGATTGCTTTTTCCATGATTTCTATTTACGTATCTATTATTCTCTATCTTTGGGGTGTGGGTGTGGGTGTGGGTGTGGGTGGGGGGGGTGTGGGTATGGATGTGGGTGTAGATAATTAGGAGAGACACCAATTCACACCCATACCCACACCCACACACCCCCCCCCCCCCCCCCCCCCCCCCCCCCCCCCCCCCCCCCCCCCCCCACCCCCCCCCCCCCCCCCCCCCCCCCCCCCCCCCCCCCCCCCCCCCCCCACCCCCACCCCCACCCACACCCACCCACACCCACACCCACACCCACACCCACCCACACCCACACCCACACCCACACCCACACCCACACTCACCCACACCCTTATGTTTAATCAGATTTTTTATTGAATATATTTTCAGATTTTAATTAATTATTAGAGATTATTATTTATGATTCATGCATTTCATTCATATTTTAATAGGCGAAATTCTTTTAAAAAAACTATTTTATCAGAACGAGAGTTTTTTGCTGAAATTCGACTGATGATTAAATAATGATACTTAGGGCATACCAAAAGTAGTGTCACCATTATCAAATTTGCTTATAGAAAGGTTGAAAAAATGTTCCTTTTTTATGGAAAGATAGAGCGTTTTTGGCTCTATTTTTCTATGCTATTTGATCACTATTCAACTAATATTATAATAATAAGATTTCGATAAAAACTGTTTTTGTTGCAAACTAGCTGGTACCATTTAGATCATAATGGGTGTGGCATAAAAAACGAGGCACTTTTGCATTTGACTTTATTGTCGGTTAATAGCTTGTATTAAAAAAAACAAAATATGCCATAAGATACAGCGTGAAAAGCTCTACAATTTATAAAGGACTATTTATTTTATAGTTGCACTTTTTATTTTCAAAATGGACAAAACTCTAAGCGACCAAATTTCGACGTTGCGAAAAGGAGATGCCTTTTTGGTAAAAGACGAATTCATTTTTTTTGTATCGCATCTTTTTATAATTGTTGTTTGTAAATTGTAAAGCTTTTCACGTTGCATCTTGCAGTGTATTTTGTTTTTTTTTAATAAAGTAGATCAGGTAATAAAAATATGAGATAAGAAAAAATGAATTCATCTTTTACCAAACAAGCATCTCATTTTCGCAACGTCGAAATTTGGTCGCTTAGAGTTTTGTCCATTTTGAAAATAAAAAGTGCAACTATAAAATAAACGGTCGTTTATAAATTGTAGAGCTTTTCACGCTGTATCTTATGGTATATTTTGTTTTTTTAATACAATGTATTAGGTGATAATGAAGTAGGATACAAAAGTGTCCCACCCATAATGATCCCAATGGTACCAGCTAGTTTGCAACAAAAATAGTTTTTATCGAAATTTTATTATTATAATATTAGTTGAATAGTGATCAAATAGCATAGAAAAATAGAGCGAAAAACGCTCTATCTTTCCATAAAAAAAGAACATTTTTTTCAACCTTTCCATAAGGAAATTTGATAATGACGACGCTACTTTTGGTATACCCTAAGTATTAGTGATAAGAACTATTGAATATATCTGTAAAAATCAAGATTATATACACTAAATCACGCCTAGAATTAGTAGGAGGAAGAATAATAATCGATTTAAAAATCACGATTTATCACAAAATCGTCGAAATAATCGAAAAAAAAAATCAGCGATTTCGAGGACATGCGTAATTATTCATTTTGATCTATTATCTATTTTCGTTATTTTGGTTTTCGAACCTATCATAATGTCTATTTAATAAGAACTACATCTTAAGCAGACAAGAAACTCGCCAAATATCTCGTCGCCTTGTCACGAGATAAGATGAGGCAAGACGATGTAACTAGGCGAGTTGCAGATCTCTAATGTGGGATTGGTGAACGATGACCACAAGCAAAGTTAAGCACGGGAACATTCAGTACGAGGAAAGTTGAGTACATAAAAACAAATGAAAGTAAATATGAAGTTTAATACAAGATAAATAAATAACAACTACATAGAACAAAATAGAAAAATAATTACAACGAAATATTGTGTGCGATTGCATCAATTTGAGTAGGAACATCTGAGTGAGGTGTTGAAGTAAGATTCAATAATCGTTTTTCGAAACGTTGATTTTTTTTTCTTGTCTTTTCGTGGTTGACCAGCTTTTATTTGTAATATATCAGCACGAGTAGAATTTTCTTCATCGATTAATTTTTGTAAGAACACCCATAGTGTTGGATGAGTACATTGAAAAACTGATCCGATACGACGATGATATGCTTCAGCTGAGTTATTAGTTCTCATCGATGATTGAGTAGTTCTATTGTACATATTCCAAAAATCAATATCAAATATAGGTTTTCTTCTTGTGTGATTTGGCCGTAACCGTCCTAAAAACAAATATTTACCAGAAGATTAACTTTTAGAGAAGAAACCTTACCTATATATATCTCTTCGAAATAATCGATCATTTCTTGATAATCTTCATCAAGATCCATTGATAAACTTTCAAAATCTTTAATAACATCAAGCTGATTGTAAAAATGCTAATGTACCAAATTTATGGATATTGTGTGCAAAACTGGAGTCCGTTTGATATCGAGTTTGCCATCCTAATGCCTAAATTGAAAAAGATTCGTAAAATAAACATTTGTTCTTTATGATAAATGATATAATACTTGTAGTTTATGATGAAGATTTTGTCTTAAATGAAAGTAACATCCGGATAAAAAGTTCTTTGAAAAAGTTGCATCATAACTATTAATATATGCTTTTTCATAATCAATCATAATTGAATGAGATGTCTGTTGTGGTGCATATTAAAGTATTTTATTGAATAAACGATGATATGTAACTGTATCTTTTCGACGTAACAAAGCATAAACGACAGGAATGACATGAACTTGATATATTGCATGTATAATATGTAATTAGTAAAACACTTCTGGTACTACCTTAAAAGTAGCATCAAACATAAAGTGACGAGTAGATTGAAGAATATCGAGTTGTTCTTCACTTGGAAAAATTAAAATTTGATTATCACCTAAATCAGTAAAGAGCAAAAATATATGATGTGACAACAGATATATTGTATGATACACATGGACCGGTATCACAACGTAAGAATTCACCTTGGGGTTGAGTTTTTCATAACATAATTGAAATAGATATAAAATGAGAATCATTAGGTGCTGTTGTAAAATCATTATTATGTCGTAGTTTTCTAATTCGACGTTTTATATTATCACGACATAGTAAACGAGTAAGTCCTCCATCAGACATATCTAGAAAAAGTAATACAGAGATATTTATCAATAACGTATTTGGTACAGAACAGGCACCTTTACTTCTAATACAATTAATAATAATGATTTCTGGTGGTTCTTGTGTATTACGAGCACAATCAGCAAGTTGTTGATCAAATTTACAAAGTTCTAATGTTGCATCATCAAATCTGCATGTATGTTCAGTTGGTTGTTTTATAATATTGTTCGTAATAATACATATATGTAAGCGTGAATGACAATGATATGTTAAAAATTTTATACAACGCCAATAAATTTTTTCAGCTGTTGATCGATCCTTTTAGATATGAATAACCACCATAATTGAGATGTGGTTTTTGTTTTGTTGTGCCGTGAATTAATATTGTCGCCATGTTGAAAAATTAAAAATGTCAGCCAAAAAATTGTCCTGTTATATACCAATCATTGTGGCTAATTGCTTTACTTCAATTTATTAAGGTTACTAATTAGAGGAAGATTGAACCTAGTATGTCTTTCTTATTCATACGTAAATATTTGATCTCATTAACATATACATCCATTGATCTTTCACTAGACGTCATCTTTATTCATTGCTTTTTATGTGCTCATCGTTCCATTTCTCCTAATGTGAATATCTTTAATTTACTTTTTCGTCACTTCTAAATCAATAACCACATCGAATTATTTTTGAAATGTTTATTTATTGAATAAAAATATATTAGAAAAAAAAATACAAAAATAAAATCATATGTCATTTCTAAAGAACTAAAAGTATAAAAGTGCTCACTAAGATTCAAACTATTTTTTTAAATAAATTCTTGAATAGAGGAACAATTTTTATGAAGCTACCCTACATAAATTGCAAACAACATTCAAAAGTTTTATCTATACTATAATCATAAGAAATAACTTGAAAGATAGCAGAAAAAAAGAACTAAATAGAGAATTGTTCGTTTCAATGTAAGAAAAATCATGAAACAAATTATCAATCTCATTAGTAAAATACATATTTTTTTATTGAATTTTTTAATGTTACAGACTGGTGAACCCTTCGACTGCTGGTTGTGCCACTCCTTGTAATAATGCAAGACTGATAAATAAAAAAAACAGTGTTTAGAATTGTTATTCATTTTTTTTTTTGGTAAATATTTTCTTACCGTGAGGAATAATAAACATATAGACCAATCGCCAATGAACTTGTTACCAATAGAGGAGCTCCTAAACCTAGACCTAAACCTACTTTTAAACGAAAATTCTCATTTTCCAAATCTTGTATATAATTTGAACTTGATAAATTCACTGTTGGACCTGTTGTTGTTGATACTGATGTTCTACTATCAGTATTTTGATTTATAGTTGGAGGTGTATAAGGAAATGTTGCCGTTACATTTATCCAACAATCCCAATACAAACATACTGGCAAGCAAGTTGTCGTTGTTGTTGATGTTGTAGTTGAAGTAGTGCTTGTCGTCGAGGTAGTTGTCGTTGAAGTACTAGA